GGCGCCGCCATCTTTTTTGACGAAAAATTGCTTTTTTTACCAAAAAAAGATGGCGGCGCCCAGCAACCAGCGGCCCGGTAAGGCTTGTTCCGCGGCCCGGTACCGGTCCGCGGACCGGCGGTTGGGGACCCCTGCCTTAGGGGAGAAGCAATCACCTCCCAGCCTTACTCCCGAGTCGCCCCTTTTGTCTCAGCTGCTCTTGCCTAGCAGCTCTGTGCAAGCGTGCACTGGGGACAGGCTCCCCTGGTTCCTCTGCCTCACTGCTGCCAGACTCTGGAGGCTCCAGAGTCAGCACCCCACTCCCAGGTGGCCCTGGCCCCATCTCCTCATCGGACGCAGGACCCCCATCTGAGTCCTCTCCAGATTCCCGGACTGGTCCCCTTTCGTCCTATTCCCCTGCTGTCTGCATTGGCTGCCGGCGAACCACAACATTTACCTCGGAGCAGGTGAACCGTCATGCTGCCTAATAGCACTACCACGGACTTGGTGCAGGTGGTGCCACTGGTGCCGCAGGGGACATTCTCAGCTGTGATGGTGAAGGCGCCGCCATTCTCGCGGACCAGGACGTACTCACAGTCCCCCAGGAAGGTGTACACCCGCCCATCGAAGGTGAGGTAGTGCGGGTCTCCGGTGGCTACGCAGGTGGCTGCACAGCGGCGGCGGCTGCATTCCCAGCGCTGCTTTCTGCAAATGCTGGGGAGGGAGGAAGAGAGAGAGGATTGTGAGCCCCCCCTGGTACCCCTGCTCTGGGCAGAGGGTATCCTGAACAGATGTGTCCTCACCAAGTGTTGCAGTCCCTGGCGATGGTCTCGTTGGGCTGGTAGAGGTGGCCGTTGTGGTGACAGGGGCATTCCTCTGGTGACACGCAATGCTCATTCTGCAAGAGGAGAGAAGGGGCGTGATGGAGGGGGCCACACCCCTGTCACCCCAAAGAGACCTAGTGTCCTGCCCTTGTTGGAGTTTGATTCTGAGGGGGAGATTATGCAGCTGACAGGGAGTGGGAGTGTGGCTCCGGTGGCTGTGAAAGAAACAAGGGAAGGGCATAGTCCAGCTGGGCATTCAGAGGAAGACCCAGGCCTACCCCCTCTTCATCCTAGGGCACGCAGGGAGGAACGGAGAAGGGAGCAACATGGCTTATGGGAGAGGAAAAGGCCCTGATTCCATTCATTAGCTGCAGCTGGGAGGACAGGATGTAAGTGGGGCATTTGCACACAGCTCCTTGCTGGGAGCAAAGCGTGCATTATCTTTGTCGAGGCTTATCTGGGTTTTGGCATCCACCCAACTGTGGTTGCTGCGTTATCTGTTGGAAGTCTGCAATGTATCATCCTGGCCTGTCATGTTAATGACTTCAGTGTGGTTTGTGGTTGGTTTTTGTAAAATTTCTAATTATCTTTACTTTGGGTGCGGACTGCATTTACTCCCTTTGTAGACTGTTTTTGGAAGAGTTTGATATCCAGCTGAGGACAACTGGACATTGGGGCCCAGGCTGGTGGCATTAAAGGGAATTTATTCTACTTTTGTGACTTTGTTATTTTGGTGTCACACCCCAGGTCATCCTACCTTGCCCTGGTTAAGGGACAGGAAGAAGAGGTCCCTGCAGCAGGAAAGCAGGCCACGCTTGTCCGAGGTGAACGCAAAAATACAATGAGGGACAATTCAGATAACAGATAATCAGAGTTGGAAGGGGCCTTGTGACCTGGGAGTTGTGTGCTGACTCCGGAGCCTCCAGAGTCTGGCAGCAGCAAGGCAGAGGAACAAAGGAAGCCTGTTCCCGCTGCGTGCATGCACAGAGCTGCTAGAATGTAAGAGCAGCTAAGACAAAAGGGACGACTCGGGAGTAAGGCTGGGAGGTGATTGCCCCTCCCATATGGAATAAAGGAGGAGCAAAGGGACAAGAGCCTTTGCAGGGGGCAACGTTGTTTGCTCTGTTTGAATTAAACCTTGGAGCTCTGTGGGAACTTTGTACTCAGGTTGGGTTTTTTTACAGTTCATTTGGCACTTTAGTTGTTGGCAGTAATTCAAAGGAGAGAAAGGTGAGTGCTTATCTCAAGGAACTGTTTGGGGCTCATTACCGATGAAGGAACATAATTCCCAGCATGGAAATAAAACAAGAGTTGTTTTAACCAAGCGTGAGCTTAATTACGGTCTCCGGAAGCCTGGGTCAGAACAGAATCTCTCCTCTGCAGCAGAACAGGTGGACATTCCACATTCCCAAATGTTAGGGATGGCGTTTCTGGACTACTCACCAGGAAGACGGTGCCAGAAGGGCAGACGCAGCCATCAGAGGCACCGTCGCAGCTGAGGTTGCTCAGGAGACTCTCGCAGGTGAGGAGGCAAGCTTTGAAGGCGTAGACCAGCTCTCCAGGACAAAGGACGGCACTGGGACAGGTCTCCTCTGTGCAACTCCAGGCCCCGTTCTCACAAACACTGAAAAACAATGGAGTTGCTCTTTTGCTCGGTAGATGTCGGAACCCCTCAGGCTTCTGTCCACCTCCCCACATCCCCTCACTTCACCAGCTGAGGGGAGCTTCTCCAAATCTAAACAAGTCCCACCAAGCCCAGCAGAGTTTGGCACCCAGTTATAGGTAGTCCTTGACTTATGAACAGCGGTGGGATTCCAATGTTTCCCCCACTGGTTCTATGAGAGTGTGTGTCATGCCCCAGTTGGAGTTTGAATCCAAGGAGGAAGACGAACAGCTGACAGGGAGCGGGAGTGTGGCTCTGTTGGCTATGGAGGAAACTGGGGGAGGGCAAAGTCTGGGTGGGCAGAGCAGGGAATAGGAAGAACAAGGGAGAGGGAGTTCAGAGGAAGACCCAGGCCCACCCCATCTTCATCCTAGGGCATGCAGGGAAGAATGGAGAAGGGAGCAACGTGGGTTTGCATGGCTTATGAGGGAGGAAAGGGCCCCGATTCCCTTCATTAGCCACACCTGGGAATGAGAGTTTAAGAGACATGCAGGCTGCATGTGGCAGCTTCTGGGAGCAAACGTGAGTTTATCTTGTGTTGACTTTGGCGATCTGTATTACTGACGTCTTCCAAACCTTGTTGAATTATGGCTGTGCCTTCACATCTGGAATTCTTGCTGCTGCCCTGCTGGACTAATTACTCCTCTTGCCTTGATTGGACTTATAGTTACAGTTTTTGTTGACCATGTTTTGGACTTGATTCTCTGCAGCCCAAGGCTGTTCCTGGGAGAGTTTTTTCTGCAGCCCAGAAGGTAACCACGACATTGGGGGGCAAAGTTGGAACAAATAAAGGGACTCTTATTGATTAACTGACTGTGTTTCCTTTGTGCCACACCCCTTTGGGTCATCACATTGTGCTTTGTGCACACTTTGCGCGTAGGTGCAGCAATTAAAATCCGCCCTCTGTCAGTGCTAGTGAGAGGAGATGTTTTTAGCTCAGCTGAGGTACGGCAATCTGCTGTGCCAGGCAAATCAGCTGAACTAAAAAAACAATGGAATATAAGACAGGACTGAGGTGGCATTTGCCGGTTCTCCGAACAACTCAAAATTTTCACTACCGGTATGCCAGAACCGGTCCAAACCAGCTGAACACCACCTCTGCTTACGATGGCAAGGTAAGTTTAGTCACTGTTGGAAGTTACAATGGCACTGAAAATGACTTCGATGAAGAATGTTTCACTTGGAGAATTCGGCGCATGGATCTCAGCTCCAGCTTTGCCCTGTTGTAATCCACTTGACTTCTAGGAAACGCTACTTTTCTTGAGTCACGTTCGTTTCATGACTGTTTGGAAGTTGCAATGGCGCTGGGAAAAGGGACTCCGGACCACGGGTCTGAATTTCAATGACGTGTCCGTAAGGGTCGGGCAGGGGGGTTCCTGCAGCATCCCCCATGACCACATAATCAAAATTCAGACGACCTGGCAACCGATATGTATTGACGACAGTTGCAGGATCTCAAAGTCACACAATTTCCCCCTGTTGAGCATGTCTGACAAGCAAAGTCATGGGTGGGATGCCACAGTTGCTTTCACAATGGTGGGATGAATTTAACCCCTGCCGCAATTCACGTAACAATGAGGGAAAGAATGCTGGTTAAAAACAAGGCCCCTATTCACCTCACAAGCATCTCGCTTAGCCACCGAAATGTTGGGGTCAATTGCGGTCGTACATGGTGGGGCTCCTCTCTGGGGGGCAGGACGAGTCTGCCTACCGAGATGAGGTGGACCGGTTGCTTTCGTGGTGTGGAGACAATAACTTGGTCCTCAACACCATTAAGACCAAGGAGCTTATAGTGGACTATATAGAAGGAACAGATCAGACATCCAGTCCTTGCTTATCAATGGAGACCGAGGGGAGCAAGTGGCCAGGGTTAAGTTTCTGGGTGTTACCCTAAAAGAGGACCTGACCTGGGGGTGCCTACATTGCAGCCCTGGTCAAAAGGGCCCAGCAGAGATTATACTACCTGAGGCTTCTTAGGAAACAACTGAATGAAAAACTGCTGGTGACCTTCTACCGCTGCACCAGAGAGAGCATTTTAACATACTGCACCTCTGTCTGGTTTGCCAATTGCACCGTGGCAGATAGGACAGCCACTCCAGAGGGTGAAGGTCATTGCCCCTCAGAGGATCCTGGGTTGCCCTCTCCCCTCTTTGGAAGAGCTTTATAGCTCCCGCTGCCTTAAGGAAGTTCAAACCATCCTCAAAGATCCATCTCATCCTGGGAACCCTTTTTTTGAACTATGACCATCTGGTAGATGGTACAGGACAATAATAAAAACAAGGACAAATAGGCTGAAAAACAGCTTCTATCCCAGGGCAGGAGCTCTTTTGAATTCTGCTGTACAGTGCAATATTAATGCAATATCAGGGGTTTCCAATTCAATGTGTGGAGTGTGAAGGATGTGTGTTTGTGTTTGTTTTCATGATCATAGTGTGCACTGAGGATGATGTTTGATTTCATCGTACGAGGTGCAAGGACAATAACGTAAACTAAACGAAATATCAACGACTAGCTGTTCTTTGCAGGGCGTGAGACATTCGACTGAGGTGGAGCCTTTCCAATCTTTCAGTCCCAAGCTATGCCCACTTGATGATAGTCTCTTGGGCCACTCATGTTCATCCCTTTGGTCCCCCAGAGGCCTTCAGCTTCCCGGCAACTGTCCACCAGGGGTGGTCTCCTGGTATCAGATTAACAGAGTTGATTAACAGATTAACAGAGTTGGAAGGGACCTGGTAGATCATCTAGTCCAACCCCCCCTCTCACCCAAGCAGGAGACCCTGCACCATTCCTGACAGATGGGAGTCCACTCTCTTCTTGAAAGCCTCCAGGGATGAAGCTCCCACAACTTCCGAAGGCAACGTCTGTTCCATCGGTTGATTTGTTCTCACCATCAGAAAATTTCTTCTGATTTCTAGGTTGTTCTAGGTCCTTGATGGCGAACGTATGGCACATGTGCTAGAGGTGGCATGCAGAGCCCTCTCTGTGGGCGCACGTGCCGTTGCCAGATGCTCTGCTGGTTTCTGATGCACCAGCTGGCCTTTGGGTCTCTGCTGCTCCGGTGCACGCAAAGACCAGCTGGCCGGTGCACGCATGCGCACCGGCCAGCTGGCTTTCAGTTTCCGGTGCTCCGGCACACACACCTGCATTCACACATTCCAGTTTGTGACTCAGTGCCGAAAAGGTTTGCCATCGCTGTTCTAGGTCCTATCCTACTTGTAGGGTAGCCAGGACGCTCCCATCCACAAGAGCGACACTGTTGTGGTTCGCCGGCAGCCGGTGCAGATGGCAGTAGAATTGGACAGTGGGGAAGAACGGGGACCAGCTGGGAGTCTTGGGAGCACTCGGACGAGGGTCCTGCATCCAATGCAGAGATAAGGCCCGGACCATCTGGAAGAGGGGTGCTGACTCCAGGGCCTCTGGAGTCTGGCAGCAGCAAGGCAGAGGACCCAGGGGAGCCTGGTCCCAGTGCGCGTGTGCACAGAACTGCCAGAAGGCAAGAGCAGCTGAGACAAAGGGGTGACTCAGGAATAAGGCTGGAAGGTGATTGCCCCTCCCATAAGGGATAAAAGTCAGGCCAAGGTAACAAAACCTTTGCAGGAAGCAAAGTTGTTCGATCGGTTCTGAGTCCCCCTTGAAGATCTCTGTACGTTGGTTGGTTTTTCTTATACTTTGGTTGGTTTCTTTTTTTAGTTAATTGGATACTTCTGTTTTTGGCAGCATGCCACAGAACTGAAAGGCGGGTGCTTATCTTGTTGGACTGTTTGAGCTTAATTCCGGCTGAGAATGAAAACAATTCCCAGTGTTGCAATAAAAGAGGTTTTGCTTTTAAAACAACTTTGTGAATAATTACGGTTTAGGAAGCCTGGACCAGAACAGAGACAGCTGGAATCGCGTGGCAGAGACAGTCAATGAAATCAACCTATCCTGGGAGGTAGAGACAGACAGGTCACAGGGTGATTTCATCAAACGTCTCTTAGTCACTCCGTCGAATCACCGCGATGCAAACAGCATGGGGGGGGGGGGGGGCGTGCCAGCTGTGGCAGTACACAAGGACACGAGAACACCAGCGCACAGATTGCGGCTGTAGCCCCGTTGGTGAAGGACATTCCTCCGAGGGAGATTTGACCTATGAGCCAATGCCAGAGGTGGGTTTTCAATTTCTTTTCCTACCAGTTCTGTGAGCAATTCTATGTGCACATGCCGGAAACGCACTCCGACGCATGTGCGCGTGGGGCTCAAAGACCGACCTTGGTTCAAACAGGGGTGAGTAAGTTGAGCTGGTGTTTTTAGCTCAGCTGAGACATGGCAATCCACTCTATTGTGCGAATCAGGTGAGCTAAAAAAAAGCAAGGGAATATAGGAGAGGTCAGGGCAGGTGGGCAGGCTTAGTCAAAGGCGGTATTTGCTGGTTCTCTGAACCAGTCAAAATTTTCGCTGCCGGTCACACCAGAACTGGTACGACCTGGCTGAATACCACCTCTGAGCGGATGCCGTTTTGGTCCTGAAATATTTGGGGTGGCAAACAGAGGGGGAGAAAAAAGATGAAGACAAGGAGGAGGAGGAGGAGGAGGAGGAGGAGGAGGAGGAGGAGGAGGAG